TTATTAGCATTTTACGAAAAAGAAGTAAAACGCTTATATCGCACAAACCATCTAGTAAAACGGGCCCAAACTTGGTGGATGATCAGCATTCAGTAAGAGCTATGCCCACACAAAGTTAGAAGTCCCTTCTATCATGGTTCTTGGGTTACAGGTGGCCCGCTACTTTTGACGAGTATTGTAATGTAAGACAATAAAGGAATCTAACGTTTGATTGAAATAAGAAGAAAAATTTTCCACCTTAATCCGATATATTTGAATTTTAAAACTGAATGAAGTTTACAAATGAACTTTTGTTTTTAAATATTTTCTATACTTTTAGTCACTAAACCATTTTCTAATTTTGTAGTTGATAGTTTTGGTTGTATGAATCTACTTTATAATGAAATCAAAGAACAAATTTTTTTTTGTAGCATTCTTCTCTGCGCAAAGACGCTGTGAATTCAACGGCCCTAGGAAGGGGCATTCGAGTGTAACGATGTGAAAACTGAATTTTTTTATGTTGATATCTTGTTAGCGTAGGTCATTCTGTGATCGCTCGCTACACATCTACAGATGAGGGAATGAAGAAAAAAGATGTAAGCAGCAGTATAGCGCCGTCGTCAACAAATGTGAATGCGTTTGTCACTCAAAAACTTCATATATCTCAAAAATCTCAGTCCTCAGCTTTCCCCCCTTGGAAAAGAATCGATTAGATTTCGAAATCAAAGAACTTCAATCAATAATTCAACAATATGAATAATTCATACTTTCCAAAGTTTCAAGAAATCTTTTTAGTCGTGTTATAAATAAAATAGCAAGCGGATCTCAACGAACTGAAAATCAATTCAATGATTATTTAAAAGAAAAAGGTTATTCAAATATAACAATTGTCAAAGAAAAATTTCAATTTATTCAAACGACTTCTGAACAAATCATAGAAATGATAACAATAAATAAAACAGATTTTCATCGTAATTTAATACATCTTGAATCTATTGAAAAAGAATATCTATTTTTGGTCGATCAATATTAGTCAATGTTTTTGAAAGCAATTCATTTTCTAAATGATCAAGGATTTGAAAATTATCATTTATTAGAAAGAAAAATTGAAGAAAAAACTATTCATTGGAGAAAAATTGAAGAAAAAACTATTCATTGGTTTTTGAATATCTAAATGGAAGAAAAAAACTTGAATATTGGCAACAACAATTTCTCACTTATCATCGTTCGCTTCTTTATCAAATTGAAGAAGATAAAACCAATGGAAGATATAAAGACTTTAAACATCGATTAATTATTATTCAATCATTAATTTGTTTGGATCAATTCTTTACTGGAATATTAGAAATAAATAAATTTGAAATTTCATATAAACAATATCAATTAGATTTAATTAAAATATCTGAAGAAGCATATCGAATAGCAGTGGATGCGATTTCAAAAGAAAATTTTAATAATGTTGACTTTAAACTTTCGGATATTATAGAAACAGTACGAAATTCAAGAATTATATCTCATATTAAAAGTAATTTAGAAAATACTTTACAAATGATGATAAAAAATACCAAAATATTTGGGTACAAATTAAATGGTCAGTATTTTATTATGAATGATCAGTAAAATTTGATCAGTATTAAATGCAAATGATCAGTAAAAAAATTGAATTGTCAGTAAAATAATTGATGATCAGTGGCTATTGGATTTGGTCAGTAATTTAATCATTTTATCAGTAAAATAATGAACTTATCAGTATCTAAACTAAAATATCAGTAATTAAATATGTTTGGTCAGTGAATCATTGCTTTTTTATCAGTATTCACCGTTCTAGAACGTCTCTCGATTATCGTTCTTGTCATTTTTTTCCAAGGGGGAAACAACTGATTTTGGGATTTATCCGATTTTCACTGATTTTCATTGATTTTCACTGATTTTGACTGATTTTGACCGATTTTCATCGATTTTCATTGATTTTCGTAGATTTTCTGATTTTCAGCGATTTTCGTTGATTTTCACGGATTTTCAGCGATTTTTTCCGATTTCTTATGATTTGTTTGGGAAAGCAAGTAAAAAGACTGCGATAAATAGTGCAGAACCTCCTTTATTTGTATAAAATAGTAATTAGACATAGTGAAAGTAAAGAAAAAAAAGATAAAATCATGAGCGATTTTTAACAATATTTAGCGATTTTTAATGATTTTTTGCGATTTTAATCGATTTTTAAGGATTTTTTAGGATTTTAACCGACTTTTAATGATTTTTTGCGATTTTAACCGATTTTTGATTTAAACTGATTTTTCAAGCTCAAAAATCAGCTGTTTCCCCCTTGTTTTTTTCTCTTATTCAGTATTTTTCTTTTGTTCTACTACTGACTCATATATGTTTGGATTTTTCCTTTTCTGTTATCACACGTAGGTGGATTTTTCCTTTCTTTTATAACATATGTTTCATATTTTCCCTTGACAAGTACTTTTCTTCCTCTCAGTGTTATTGTTCATATGTATTATATCTGATAGGATTTTCCCGATCGTTCAACCTCGATCATCCGTTGGATATTTCCTAAAGATGTGTGATGCCCCATCCTAAGTAAAGCTGATGATTTTGCATAAATAAACAGTGAAATTGATGTTATGAAAAAAATGAAATGGTATTCGTTTGACCAGTATCAAACTAAAGTATTTAATATCTGGCATGTTACATGACTAATGGATGAAGCAAAATGGTTAGATAGTCAATGTAATTGTCCTGCATTTTTCAAAAGGTTTATCTGCAAACATGTCGTTAGATTGGCAATAAGATTTAATTATTGTAGACCACCATCTGCTGCGAAGAACATTAAAATTGGAGAAAAAAGACGTAGAGGTCCACCTTCAAAAGCTAAAAAAGCATTGCTTATACAGTAAAATTTTGTTACTTGTAATTGTACTATTTTTCACTGATATAAATTGAAAATTAATTGATCAAAAAAATATTATTCACTAATCAAAACTAATATATTTATAGATCATATTTTGATTTAATTACAGACATTCGAAATTATTTGCTGATAAAAAAATACTGATCATTCATAATAAAATACTGATCATTAAAATAGGACCCAAAATATTTGTCAATTCATTGGATGGAAAAATTGAACATGTAATAGATAATCAAAATGCACTTCTAAAAATTGTAGAAAATCTTGAAAAAGTTCAAATTATTCTTCACCAAATAAATATTTGAAATTTGATTGATTACTTCAAAATTTGTCACATGAAATTCATCAAATTTGAACAAAAAAAATTTCAAATATTTTTCAATCGATTGAAATATTTCTTAATCTACATGATTTTCTTTTGGTAGACAAAACAATAGAATATCTAATTCGTACATTACAAGAATTAACTAATTATTATCGATCAGAATCTATTGAAAAGAATATTGATGATATGAAGAAAAGAATTAGTCCATTATCTAATGAGATTTTACAACAGTATGATTTTGTCGATATTAATAAATATTTAAAACATTCACCAACAAATCTTTTACAACAATTAAAAATAGTCTCATCAAATGGTTATCCAAAGTATACTGAAATTTATCATCTTCTTTTAGAAAAACTTCGAATTAATTTTTCTCTTGCGATAAATAATGTTAAAAATAATATTACATTTGATCGTTTAGCTAAGATGCGCACAATTCAAGATACTTTTTATTTTTTACCAGAAGAACTGAAAATCAACTTCCAAACTGATATTAAGGAAGTAGATCAAATGATTAGAAAGGAAGTTAGAATACCCGAATTTGATTAGAAAGATTTTTACTATTCAGAAAGAAAAGTAAATATTCATACAGGAAAAAAAATCAATATTTTAATGTTGACACGATGTTATCAAATGAATCCGTAATCATTTTTCTAATTTATCGTGTTGTTTCAAGGGAGAAAAGCGATTTTTTGACTTCTAGATTTCTTTGGAGTTTTTATGGGTTTTTTTAAAATTTTTTTGACTTTTTAGAATTTTTGAATTTTTTGAGATTTGTTGAAATTTTTTCTAGTTTTTATGTTTTGCAACATCTTTCGCCCCGTATTTATTTGTAAATGTCTATTTAACATTGGAATCACTTCTATGTCAGACGAGCAGCAAATATGGATGAATTAGAAGTACTCTCCAATAACTCTTGTTTAACACTAAATATTCTTTGTATCGTTACATCCGCAAAAGTATATTCTGAAACTCTTTTCAACGATAGGTATCGATATTTTCTTAATATTATCTATCTCAAAATAGACGAAGAGTAGTTGTTTTTTTGATAACTCTTTAATGAAAATAGCTATCGGTCTATGGATATCATCGTTTGATAGAGGCGAACATTCTGCGTCTCTCTAAAGATTATCAAAAAAAGTCAACTGATGATTCTGATGAGTGGCCAATAAAATTCAAAGAAGTACTTAAAGTGTCATAAAAGTTGTATGGAATTTCAATTGTAACGATTTCATTAGATTCGTCTGCTCAAGATCTACAGTTTTACACAGACTCGAAATTATTATTTAGATTGTTTCAAACATCTTCACAAGATGCAACACTAAGTGAAAACATAGATCATCGTGAGATATGAGAATGATGGTGTTGATTTCATGGAATGCTGCAGAAGAAATAGTGCGAACATCTTCACAGATTATTGCTCAAAGTTGCAGTGATTCATAACTATTATTGGATGTCTTAGGAAGAAAAGTGAGGAAATTTCTGTCTGCTTTCTTTCATAGATATAATAAATAAATAAGATATAATGAAATATTAGGTGAAGTATAATCAGAACAACGATAGCTATGAATAAATGAGAAAATATAGGAAAACAGGTATATCTAAAACGTACGGAACGAGACAGTTACTATTGTTCGTCAGTGTATCTAGACATTGAAAGAGTTCGAAACTTTCTTATCTCGTTTAAATGCTTAATCAAAACACAGTTCTGTATGTTACATTGTTAACTTATAGAAAACAATTAACATTTACAGAAGATTTTTAACAACGAATGTCTACTAGTTTACTTTGATTTCTTTGAACATTATTATGGGAATAAATGAGAAAAGAGCACGGAAAAAACACACTTTGGATCACGGTCGACTAAATTGTGGAAAAAACACGGAAAAGATCACGGTTACGAAAAATAATTTTTTTATTTTAAAGTCATGGAAAAGATCACGGAAAAAACGGTACAGAGTTTCTGAAAAACTGTTTTTATCAGTAAACTGGATTAAAAAGCGAGGGGACACGTAAAAGCGTTCCCTCGTTAGTTCTCATACATTTTCTTTCAAGAGAAGCTTACGACATTTAAAGCAATTATACTCACATTTTGCGTTAGCGTTTACACAGTCAACTATCAATCTTTCTGCTGCTATCACATAAACATTCGGAACGGGTACTGTATTCATATTTTATAAATCTATGTACTTGTATGGTTTTTTCAAATATGTCTTAAATATTAATCTTTTCGTAAGATTGCGAATGAAAGACGTGGTACCGCAGCCTGTAAGAGCGTGCAAATTAACTATTATTCTCGGATCAGAATGGTACAAATCATTGAAATATTTTGCGATTAATGTACAATTTATTATTTCTGGATCTCGTTTACGTGATGTGCATGCAACTATGGACATGCCATTTTACCGAATATTGAGATGCATATGCAATTGATAGTATGATAACGTCTGTATTTGTAGATCATGATAGCGTCCGTGTCTGGACCGCCAATAACCAGTAATTTATCTCGAGGTATCTTGTGTAGTTGTGATAACCAGCAATCACGAACTGCAGCTGCCACTATGGCACGATTTCCGACAATTAACTTCTGAAATTCTTCGCTTACGTCTAGTATAGAATTCTCATTTAAAATATATTCAGATCTCTTTATATTAGAACTGTGATGTTCAATGAATGATTTAATAACCTTAGATCTTCTAGAATCAAAACTGCATCTATACGAATGTAATCATTAAAATACTCTTTCGTTAAATAATCTAATAACTGTTCTGTTATGTCTAGGTTACACGAGATAACCTCGACATAAGGAACTATTCTGTCTTTCTTTTCTGCTATACATTTTTATACCACAGGCAGGAGAGATTTAGTCTCTTTTCCTTTCTGTTATACCTTGACCCTTAACCACCTACATCATCATAATTCATATTTTTTTCTCGAAACTAGAAAATATCCTATATATCCAGGCAAACATTTTTTGTAAGTTAACGCACCTATAAACGCGTTAGTTGACACATCTGAGGTGTTTTGACGCGTTTTAGCAGCCACTGAACGCGTTAGTTAGAGAAAAACGCGTCTAACTGCGACAAAATTTCACGAAGAATAACGCGTTTGTGAAACAGTAACGCTTAGAACGGCGCCAAGTTTTGACGCGTTTAAATGCGTTTACATTTAACGCGTTTAGCAGGACGATTTTACAATAAATTGACACATTCGGAAAAGTCAACCTGTGTTTCGTTTAAACGCGTTATAAACGAACGCATCGAATAGGGTTCTAGGTATGAGTTGATGCGTTTTTTCTGAAAAAGTACATAGTAGGCGTAAAATTTCTTTTCTATACTAGACGTAAGCGAAGAATTTCAAAAGTTAATTGTCGGAAATCGTGCCATAGTGGCAGCTGCAGTTCGTGATTGCTGGTTATCACAACTATATATTATTCTTAGGTCGATGTGTGGCGATGTCCACACATGGCATAGCTTATATGGAAAGGGATATCTCCTTATTTGCTGTATTCCCAATGATCGATTTTTCCACGATTCAGGACATTGTTGAATGCTCATATTTCAGCTCTATGAGATATTTTATAATCAATTCAAAAGAATTTTCCTGAATTCTCTGACGTCGATTATTGATCGATGCATACCTATTCTATAATTAGGCTGAATATGCTATTAGATTTATCACATTTTATCTAGTCACATATATAAACTTTCTGAGACGTTCTTTAAGAAGTCATTGGAAAAAAGTACGTTCTTTTTAGGCGCATCCACTCTATCATTTCACTTATTAGGTGAGGGTGAGTTCAGATTAAAATCCAGTTCAGTTTAAAACTGAACGAGTTCAAATCGAAATTTAAATAAAAACTAGGTGAAATTGAAATTGAAATGTGAACTAGTTTGTTTGAAAAGCAGTTTCAAAATGAACTAGTACATTTTTATCATTGTAATTAAGTCAAACTAAATTATTTCTGAAAACTTTTTATATAGCTGAATTGTCTCCTCTATTTCGGAATCTAAAATTTCCTATAGTATCCTATAGTATTACAGGTTCTTTTTTTCTGTCACATGTGGAGTGTGGACTATATGCAATAATATTTAAATATAACGAATGAAAGGATCGGATAAATAGACTTTACTTATATCTTTCTGTTTTCATCTTTCTTCCACTGTTTGAAGAATACTGAAGAGCAGTGTGTATCAATAAATCGTAAAAACAGACATCAGCTGAAAGTAACTCCACAAGCTTCGCTTTATTCTTTTTCAATTAAAATGAATCTTCGGCTTTAGAGTACTTTCCTTCACTTGTTAGCAGATTGAAACAGTAGAGTCAAAACAAATAAGTAGTGTTAGACCATTTCTTGCGGCTGTCGTATTATAAAATGGATCCGTAGCGAACCAAATATCGCATTAAATGTAACATTTTTGATCGAAAAAACCCTGAGAAATCATCTACTTGCGATTTGTAAATAAAATTGAAACATTCAATTTTAAATAGGTACGCAACAGCTACGGATATAACTATAATTGTAAAAATTGCATAACTGAAAAACTGTTACAGTAAAACTGGTACATTTGATTATCAAAACTGATCACAACTGTCAGAAAAAAAAGCAAAGTTTCTGATCTTTTCGAGTCCGAAAATAAGAAAAAAGTTCCGTTTAAGTTATTATATCTTTAAATTTTAGTTCTTCGTGAAATATATCGATACTTCTTATTAAACAAAATTTTATTTTATTTCGCATCGCAAAAATATACGCTTTTTACGTTTGATTAGCACAAAGACTATGAAGTTTGTAGTCAGAATAATATACAAACACATCTTAATGAGATCAATAAGAGCAAAAATGAGTTTCATATTAGTGACTGTAGTGAATGACTCAACAAAATCACCCTCACTACGTACTACTGCATTTTGTCTTAATTTGAAAGCAGAATTTAAAAATCCTATGTAAAAGTGATCAAAAGTCTGAGAGGTGTCTCATTGTGAAGAGAATACTTTGCTCTATGAGACAATGTTCGTGGAATGCTGCGGTTTAGGCTTTCCTCCACATTTGGCTATGTACAACTCATAACTGGAAATATTATCAAAAAGTGGGGATACCCATACCCTCTACCGTAGCAGTTTTACCTGTGACACTTTTAACTGTAGTAGTTTACAGTTCTACAGTGTAACAGTTACAGTTAACTGCTCTTTAGCTGCGACTGGTGTATACCTAATCGGAAAGATTTTCAGAAGCCATCAAAAACACTTTTTTCACAACTTCCTCGTCTCTATAACTTTGAGTAGTACTATAGATAGTCATCACTAACAGCCTTTTGTGCCTTTTAGTTCATGTTTTGACCATTTGTTAATTCGTTTTCATACATTTACTGGTTATGAATGATAAGGGGCGTCAACATTACTTATTGTCTATGCTCTAATTACTGTTCTTCTACAGAAAAGATAACTTCAGATACCTTTGAAGTTTAGATTTTATCATTTGTCAAAATCTCCCGCGTATTTTATATAAAATTTTGAACGTCCTGCTCAAATGAAACTATTCTTCTGTTCTC